AATTAAATTAAAGTAAATATGTTATAATAAAAATTACTATTGACAAAATAATCAAATTGAATTGAATTGAATTGAATTGAATTGAATTGAATTGAATCAAGTTATATCATATCCGATTTGAATTTGAATTGTAATCTAAAAACAAATCGAATTGAATTTAACTAAAATCTGATCCGATTCAATTTGTTGCGATCCCTACTTTTAATATATCAAACAAATAAAGGAATGATGTTTACCTATAAAAAAAATAATAAAACAAATAAAAAATTTTAATTTTAGATTGGTTTTTTATTTCAGACTATATATTATATAAATTATTTTGCTATTGATTTAATTTTCAAAATCTTTAAAAATTATTGTATTATGACTCAATTATTTATATGTTTTAATAGTAACTTAATTAATTGTATCAAATAATTATATCAATTATATCAAAGATCTATGGATTTTAGTAACATGAAATTTTAGTTTATTGATAGAAATGCATCAAATATAAAATATAAAAATTACTATATATGGTACAACTTTGAATCCAGTTATTTTTTTATGCAAGTTCTATTTGTATTTATTATTTTTTTTTTAAAAAAAAAATCAAAAATTTGGTTGAAATTTTATTGATAAAATCATTATTTCAAATAAATGTTTTTTTATAAATTCAAAATATTATATCTAAATATTTAATAAATGTTTTTTTTTTTAATAAAAAATTAGATGTGCAAATAATGTTTGGATTTTTTCAATAATATACAATAGTTTTTTATTCATTATTTTTTTTTTATACATTTTAATAATTTTCATATATACTGTAATTAATTTTTTAATAATTTATATTAAATATTATTATATTATTTCTTATTTAAAAAATCATTTATTTTTATATTCAATTGGATTATTACGACTGAGTAATAATTCCTTTTCAATTTTATTAGAAGTCAATATACTTTCTTTTAAACTCTACATTTAATATTAGATATAGTATGTTGAATGTTTTAGCTTTCTATTACATAAATTTTGTCGTAGCAATTATATCTACACAAAAATACAGTATAATCCGGAGTGACCCATCTATAAAAAACCACGTAAAGGAAATTTTCGAACTTGGAAATGAAATTAATATAATACGTACTGAATCAGAATGGAAACGTGAGATTTGGTCTCAAGGTACATGAGTAGAAATTTCGATTATTATTACGGAGTAATGTAGCTTTGTATCTTGCAGTCACACGAGGCTATACTAACGTGACTTTTAATTAAAGGACGGGAATTTGCAACAAGCCAGAGATCAACGAAACTGAGACTCTCTAGGTAGAATTTATTGTCCTATTTAATGATATAAGAAAGAGGGAAGGGCGCTCTCCTACGAAATTCATAATTTTCTATGCTCTATCACAATTGTCTCCTTTTATAGGCACCAAAATGTCTGCAGAGAACGTTATTAGACAGATCAAAGCTTGGATGAAGAAAAAGACACGCGAAGTGAAGAAAGTCCCACACCTAAATTCACTAGCATTAACGGTAGTAAAAATAAATTTTTAAGTGGCAGTAGCAATGATGATAATGGCAATGATAATGATGATAACTCTACAATTTTTACTATTTAAAAGGCCTAAGATCGGCAGGCATGTATTTCATGCTTTATTCCTCCCTCTTTTTTCTCCTCCCCTACGCTTCTATTATATATTATCCTGATGGACCTTTACATTGTAAAGAGTTGTTAAAATTTAATTAAAATCGAATGCAATATATAAACGCGTACATATTCTTCCGTTCCCTTTGAATAACTTGACAATAGGATTCGCTAGTTCAATTTACTCTTGACTATATAAACAAAAATCCAGGTGCTACTGCAAAAGATATTGAAAGTGCGTACAAAAAGCCACAAGTAAGTAAATAAGTAATGAATACGCGTTTATTGGGCAGATAGTTAGAAAGTTATCAGTGTTATTGCAAGAGAGGCTGTTTTGGTATTCTTAACTTGGAATTGTAGCAAAGGTTAGGTTATACATAAACTTGTTTGAAAGGAAAATAAACAATATACGACACGTTTGAAGTTAAGTAGAGTAGGACATGGAGGGAGAATAGTTCAAATGCATTACTATATGCGTTGAGGTTGGTCGTAGCAAAATTTATGTTATAAATAAACCCGTTTAAAAGAAAAATAATACGTTCAGGTTAATTAGAATAGGAGCAATGAAAGAAGAATAGTTGGAATGCATTGTGATGTGCGTTGAGGTTGGAATGTAGGGTCATAGCTAGGTTATACATAAGGTGACAAGAGTTAATAGAGGAATAGTGGAGAGAGAATAGTTCGAATTTTGTTAGAACAAGTGCAGTAGGCATGTGGAGTACGACCTCGGCATTTTTTAGTTACCCTATGGTCGACAGAGTAAGTGAAGAGATAATATCTGAAAAAGCAGATGTTCCTGACAGTGATGGTGATAACATCCGAGCGCCTCAAGATGTTCACTGACTATATGGAAAGCACCGTATTGGCCTTGCACGCAGTCCTCCATATTCGGGAAAGACCACGCTTGGCAGGAAGCATCAAGAATATTTTCGCACTCAGGTTATTAATGCCGTGTATATTAACCTAGCAGCCTTTGCAAAGAGGGACCATACACTTATGCCTGCTTTAATGCATACTGGATGTCGAAAACTAAAAATTATTGGGGGAACCTTACGCAGTATAGAATGCCAATCAAGATTATTGTCGATGAAGCGTAGGTTATTTATAATACTGTAAGTCCTTTTGGGGCTTTTGAAATTTATTGTATCGGATCAACGCAGCCAAAACTTCCAGATATTATTATTGACACATACCAGCCGAATTACAATATTGGGATGCCAATAACGTTCCCAGATGTACTCGGGTTATCCACCCTTCGTTTGACACTGGATGAATTTCAATATCTCGTGAGCAATTACGTCCACAAGCGACAGAGAAGTACTATTGGTCAGTCTTTCAGCATCCCGAAACTCGTAGAGAAGACAATATTCAACTTTACCAGTGAGTATACTGACTTGTGTCGGATGACATTGTCAGATTTGCGTCAGAAATTCCCAAATGGTGGATCACCAAATGATATGATCAAACATCTTGTTTCAGCTCTTACTGGTGTTGTCGACTCTGGAGAGTCTGTCGCCAAACAAATATATTCTCTGTAACGTCAGGTAAGTCCGGCGTTCACTTCTTTAAACTCTTAGGCGTGTCTTCGATTTGGCTGGTCTTGACTTTAACTTCTCTATCGACTAACCTAGAACTCTTCTAGTGTTAATTCCCTTAGGAAAAAACTTTGGTTCTTTCTCTTAGTCGTGTAGCGCAAGTTACAAGTACTTTTTGCACACAATAGAACAGGATAAGAGTCGTCCTTAAACTTTACTTTATTCAAATTTTTCATCTGCCTCTAATGCTACTGAATTGCACATATATTTTTACATGCGCCTATCGTTTACATATTTACATTCTCCGCTATTCTATTTAGTTCTAGAAATTCCCACCTCTAAATTTTCTCATTATAATTTATCGGGATGATGCTGAAATTGACCAAAATTATGCAGATCGCTAGGTCAGAATTATAAAAAGTCAGATTAGAATTATTACAAGTCCGGCCAGAATTATAATTAGTATAAATAATAATAATAATATAATAATACTAATAATAATAATAGTATATATTTAATGTATTATCATTATTACTATATAAATTTTATATTATATATGTTAATATCATTTCAGCATCATCCCCGACATACAGTAATTTATCATTATTCGCGACAACAGGATCGCACACATGTACCGCATTTACCCGTAACACTGGATACATAAATGTCATCCAACAGTATCGGAAGCTGACTTTCTACGCAGGTTGCTACTCAAATGTGACCCTGATTTAACCTTCATATAGATGAACCGTTATGAACAACCAATAGTCTAAACATCCCTCAAGACTGGCATTATCATCAAAGACTATAACATCGGAAAAAAATATTTTGCTGCCCATTTTGCGGATTGTCCTGAGCAATTGACTGTTTACTGCACCTACTGATATACCAAGTTTGTCTATGAAAATGTTAAATGAATTTTGTTGCAGACTATTGAACGAATGTCTCCAACTACCTTAAGCAAATCCTTTGGGCGAAGGGTTGGGACTACTTAATCGAGAGAACTTGACGGATGGAATGGCACCGTATTGCAAAGACCGCAATACCAGACGATGCAACAATTAGTCCTGATGTCGGACATATCCTCGATTCAGACGGATTCCTTGAATTTTACATTGATGGTGATTACAGCTGGGGATCATGCAAAGAGATTTGAACAAGGTGGTCAATATGAAGTAATCTCAATGAATTATTGGGTCATTCCTGACTTTCGTTATCACTCCAAACGTGTTCGGAATTTAATGCCTAACTTCTGGTACATACTCTACTCGGATGATTATAAGCAAGTTACGATCTTTCGCCACACCTGATTGAGATGACTAAGTGAACTTTAGACTTTAACCCAGAGTCTGATTAAAGTGGATAAAAGCATCATATGTGAGCCTGTTCCAATAATAGAGAAAGTTGAGGTCAACCACATTGACAATAATTTCATTTAGACTTTTTAACAAACATTACCCATAATCTGGAATTGGCTTGTATATCTCACAAAGTTCTTTTTGAAAGCTCTAAACTGTTATGCATAATTAGTACCAAGTAAATATAACATGGTTGCGGACTAAATTTAATAATAATGCTTCATTTTTTTCAATATCTGGGTTGCTAAGCTTAGAAAGGAGAATATGAACGCTAATATTGAGCTTCACTAGAAACTTAAAAAATACATAACAGTGGATGAGTCAGAGATTATTCATTGATTAAGAATTGAACCCATACTTATAATGTATATGATATATATATCAGAAATAATAATTATTTTTATATTTTATAAAGAGATAAAATAAAATAAGTATTGGATTGGTCATTTACTACGAATTTTTTTAGGCCATCATTATAATCAATAATTGTTATTAATTTTTGTCGTCCAGATACTGTATATATTCTTATCGTTTAAATTCTTGTTAATCTTTCAAAGATTTATAGCCACTTCCTTTTATTATTTTCTCAAAATGAAATAAGGACTATCAATTTTTTTATTAATATATAAGAGAATTTTCCAATTATTTGAGAAAAAGAAATATATTGAATTGCTCAAAATAAATGTTCAGTTACAGATTTGGATTTTGCATTTTTATATTCGAGTACTATTATGACCTATAATATTTCATTCGAAAAATGGGTTTCTCATTAGAGAAAGTTAATGCATTAAATAAAGAAAGGAAAATACTTTATAAAATCAAATTTCCCTTTAATAGCTAAATATTATGTGCCCGGTATACAGTATATTCCATGAAAATAAAAATGATAATAAAGGTTTGTATTCATCTGTTTTAGAAAAACTATAGATATATAAAATAAATGAAAGTACAACTTTCTGATTTAAGAGCACAGAGAAGCCAATGAATCATTATCAATAACAAATCGATAGAATGTGATTTCATTTGTTATATATATAAATAGCATTTATAAAGAAGCTGGTAATCATATTTTGCCTTTCTTTACACAACATCTTTGCTGGATGTGTTACAACAGCGGGGAAGTTTAATAATAAGATTGTCGCAGAGCATATAAAAGAAGGAATTTAAAATCAAATATGAAATGCCGATTCTTTATATACTGTTCCAATTAAAGAGCGAAAATTACGATCTTTTTTCATAATATAAAGCTGTGATATCATTAGAAGTATGAATCAATTAAATTCAAATAAGTTTTAGTAGAAATGATTATATAAGGGTTTGTTTTTTTCTGGTTACAATTTCTATATATTAAAAGTATCGAGTATAACGAAGACTTTAAACGACTTGCACAAATAAAATTAATGACAAATGCTAATAAAGCGACTTAGCATACTTTTATCGAATCTATATACATGTATTAACTGCCATTGCAAAAAAGAGAAAGGAATATTGAGTATTAGAGGGATATTTCTGGTGAAAAAGCGTCTGGACAAATGGATTACGGAATAAAGGGAATGGAGAACCTATGCATTACCGAAGGAAAACAACGAAATATAAAGTAAGGTATCTCCAGGTGGGTCCACTTTATCAAAATAAATACAAGTACACAAAATGGTAAACATGTCGACTTCTGCTCATGTAACCAACAGCAAGTTTACTTTCTTAGCATGTTTATTTGCAACTCTGTGATTTCTAAATTTCCTTTTTATACTGTTAGGAATTTCGTTAGACTTTATTATATTTTATAAATAAGATTGTTTTTGAGTCTTACTTTTAATTTTTTAAGAAAAATTTCATTATATCATTATTATTGTTGTTGTTGTTTTTTCAATTATATAATAATAATAATTTAAAATTCAATAATCAAAAACAATAACTTAAACCTATTGTTAAAATTTATAAAAAATGAAACATCAATAAATAATAATATTATAATAATTAACAAAAGAATTAATGAAAGTCATCACTATTAATCAATAGTAAGAGTATAAATACTGTATAATAGAATAATATGATTTTTCAAATAGATATAAATATTAAATAAAAAATTTAAATATTTCTTTATGAATTATTTAAAATAACAAGATTTTAAATGTTTAATAAAAAAACACAATAAATTTAATAGCAAATCCAAGTATTATAATTATATTATAATTTGAAAACACATGAATTAAATAATCTAAATTATAAATAATTTTGATAAATAATTTTTTTTCGTTCTTATATTATAATAAAATTATTGAAATATTCTATTAATTTTAATTTTTAAAATGTTTTCTTATTTTTAATATTAAAAAAAAAGTCTTTGAAATTTTTTAAAAAAAATTTACAAAATATAAATTATGAATTTTTTTGAATTCAAATTTGTGCAAAAAAATGTGATTAAATAATAACATCTGTATATTCTTTTTTTTTTTTCTTTGATACATTATTACAGAATTTGTGAAACAATAATATATTTTTTTTTTGAAATTTCGATTATGTAGAAATTATTTTGCTAACATACCGTTCAATAAATCAAGTTCGATAAATTGCATCAATGTTTTTAAAATTTAAATCTTACGATTGTTAAAAAAAGGGGATATTATTGAATTTTGAATGAAAATCATAATATTCAAATAATATATATACTGTATGTATGTACACGCATACATATATATATATATATTTTAGAAAATGAATTTTGTATAACAATGTTAGGTATGCTAAATAAATAAAAAAGCAACGCAAATTATAAATTAATAATGATCCTAAAATACACGTGTATATATATACAACATATCGCATACCTAATTATCGATACCAAATAATTAAGCAATCTCGGATTTATAAAAACCTATCTACTATATAAAAGGTATGATATATATACAGTATATATATGTTATCATTATTTTAAAATGATTTGGGGTTTCAAATTTTCGACAAATTAATTAATTAATTGATTGATTGATTTAATTTGAAATACCCGCATGTTTTTATAATCTTTTCGTGAAACTTAGATGCATGTGTATTGCCATGGTTACGTCAAGCCCTCCAATTCCAAGATTCTGATTCTAGGTCACAAGGTACGAAGGGACCAGGCGTTCTCATTTTTTAAAGCTATTTTGACCTCTGTTTATAAGTTTCACGACACGTCATGTTGCCTACGAAACGCGTCGCACAATTTCATCCTAATTCGCCGCCATTGAGCCGCGCATGAATCGCGTAATGCCCCTTGTCTACCCCATCACCCATAACAATACAAATAAGCAACATAGACACGGTATAAATATGAATATATACTGTATATACTTATTTATAAAATATATACAGTATGTAAGCAGTATGATTATATTTAAAAAATATACATACTATATATACTGTATATGCGTTATATACATATATATTATATATATATGTATGTATATATACGTTAAATTAATCGGGTTATGTTTAAAAAGGGATCAATGTATCTAGTAGATTATATGCAAGGTAATTTTTAAGCAAATGATGGGAATAAATAAATAAATGAATGAATGAATCGATCGATCGATCAAAAGAACCCCCAAATCAAGAAAAACAAAAAACGATAACCTGGTTATTACCCTCTCATTTATTTTTTTCGGTTTAAGCGAAATCATCCTCGTGAAAATGAATCAAGTATAAAAAATATATAAATTCGATATGCATAAATTAAACCATACGAATTCATCTATTATGCAATGCAAAAGTTTGTGTTGATATCTCATTTTCGCATATAATCATATATAGTGTGATAATAAAGAACTATGTATCTTTTACTTATCCGATTAATTTCATTGTGACCTTTTAGGAAAAGTTGTGTGTGTGTAAATGTTTATTTTTGAAAAGCCACTAATTGTTGTTACCATTAATCCAGAAATGAAACCAACATTTCAAATTCGCCAAATACTCTCGGCAAATACTTTCAGGGTACATTCGAAGGCGGACAGGGATTTTTAGGATCTTATAATCGTGATCCTAAAATTTGCGTTATACGTGTATTACTTAGATGACAAGGGTTCCGATTTTCGATCGGTTTTGCTAAAGGAAAGTCATTCTTTTTGGGCTTCGGAAAATGCCGCCTGTTGGGAACCCCAATTATTATTGTTAATAAAAAAGATTTCAATCCAAAGTGTGATGAATAATTACAACAATTTTAGCTATCTTCTTGTTTTGGTAAATTTCAGAATGCGATCAAAACAAAATTTTATTAGGTTTAGAAATAGGCTGATCATGAATTACCGGTCGTGTGTTTGTGGCTAAGATGATAGACTTGTACAGTACAGAGAATTTGGTGGTGAGTTATGAGACACACAATTATTGTTATTAATAATGAAACCTAATTTGATCAGGAAAACTTGAAAGTACCGGATTGCAAAGATCTCGTCTCAGAGCAGGCACGGTAAAAGACAATCGAATTACGATGTTGCGAAAACAATTAAACAGTATATTCGGATGTGTTTATGTGAAAGTGATTCCTTTTCAGTCCAAATTGGGAAAAGAGATACATGCGGCCAGAACACAATAAGACCTTTTGAGATGGTAGATTTTTCTCCCGAAAAGTCACGACTTATCTCTTATTTGTGTAAGCGCAAAAGATGCTCCCTTCCCATTCCAGTCTTGGAGTCAGCACACAATAAGTTTCCATTTAAACTTAATTTGAATATTCGACTTCATGGTAAGATTCGATTCCTTGTTTGCAATTATCTGCACGCTATCTATTAATACGATTTGAATGTTGGTAAGACAGAATGTTAGCATCCTTCGGCAGATGTGCATATATTATATAAATTTGGGTCATAGTAGGTGGTTCTATTCATGCGGTTTCTTAGCCGTACCTTCCTTCCTCGTGCTAGAGTGACAATCCAGTTAAACAGACCAACGCTATTGAGCGAGGTGAAATGAAATGCACTAAAAAAAACAATTGTTTAATTAACAAAGGACTTTCCTTGACTTTTTATTCGTCAGTCTTGTTTTCTAAGATGAGCATTTTCGTATCTCACTGGTAGGTTGGTCTTGGCACATTCGTATCGTCAATATCATCAATCAAGATTTAGCGCGAGATAGGCGTAGGTTGAAACTCCCGAAGTGGTGCCTAGGGCTTACATGAGATTTAAATTCAATCTGCACCTACATGAGAGTTATTCATACAAGTTGAGTGCATCACGCAATTTCCACGAATTTACATATGATGATAAATCGGTTTCTTTATTACCGGTCCAACAACAATGCGATGCTATTAGCCTGAAGTGGAATAACATCAATTCCTTTACCATTTCCGTAGGTTCATACATACCGAATACAGGGTACACAGGAAACCACCGTACTATAAAAATTTCACGTGATACTGATTCAAACTTTAAATGACGCGTTGGATGATCATCCAAGTTTTTTGTAATTCACATGTCCCATAGAATCATCCTCGAAAACAAATAACTTAATTTTTTGCGGATTACACGAATGAACGAGCCCACCACGTTCGAACTCATGTGGCAAGATTCCCCTTTCACGTTTTCATCGAGATTACCCAGGTAGAAAAAAGATCAAAAGATCAAAAGATCAACGAGTACAAATTTTGTCGGTGCGTTTTTAAAAGTGTTACCTGAAAATACCGTCACCCACGTGCTTACAAGAAGATCGTTTACGGAGTGTCATGTTGATTATGCGTGAAAAAAAATAAATCAAATTATTACAAACTGTGCTAGAACTTAAGAAACACATGATATTCACATCACGTGTTCAATAAATCCTACGGACTCTGCTTTTTTCGATGGTTACTCTGATGATAGAGATTACCTTAAACGGATTATATACAGTATATATATATATATATATGTTTACTATCTATTGGTCATAAGTCGTAAATCAAGGTTTTGCCGTTTTCGTTATTATGGATTATTATTATTATTATTTACACGTTGTTTGCGGCTTTCGACTATCGAGAAAACCGTGGTAAAGGTCGTACTAAAAAAAACGATCGATCGTGAATCGTCATTTCTTCAATTTCCATAACTGTAAACACGATCATTTTGTCCGAGTGGTTTCATGATTACCCGCGCATTTCATACGTAAGCAACGTTCACAATCGCAATGATTCGGTTGTCACATCATCCGGACATATCTTCCTTCTGAGGGTGTTTTGATTATCACTTCCGCTAGAATTTCATTAAGGCAATGTTGATCACCATGGACAAATCTCATGATTGCTACAGTATATGCATGATACGAAAAAAGAGTCGTCATCTACAAATTGGAAACGGACCTTGCCATCGCAGGCTTTACCGTTCGTACCGAATGCGTACCGAATGTGTTGCACGGTTGGTAGTAGTGATAGGCAGAATTATTTTCATAGAGAAAAGGGAAATCGAATCGGGTGTTCCAATCCAGAGGAAGTAAACTATCTTTGGAGAAGACAGCATGTGCACCAAATAAGTATAAGATGTGCATAACAAATAATAAATATTGTATCTTACCTAAAGGAAATGATGATGACGTGAATTCAGATTCAGATCGGACGCGCATACTTCCTAAATATGACACGGAGAAAGGAATGTACCGAGTCAACGTGCTTACAATTTGAGGGTGAGTGACTCCGTGGAAAGTTCGTCGATGTGATCAAAATGATGTTTGTTTTCATTTTGGATGGATGATCATGCGCGTTCGGAGATTCACGCTTTTTAACTTAACCTTATCCATCATCATCATCATCATGACCGTGTTGAATGCATTTCAGACATCTATTTACACACCGATTGTTCTTTAAAGTTTGTCCGATTGCATAATTGACAGGGGTCAAGGATAAACTTTTAACGATAAATTTACAAATTCATTTGACACCATTGATATAAAGTTTGACGCATCTCGGAATTTGGATTTTTGATGTGTGTGTGTTCAATTGATTTTATACCTATTGTTTTTTAAAAAAGGCGAAAGGATTGTCGTACGTGTGTTTTACATGCATGCATTTTGTTTTCTTTCTTTTTCCCGACGCGTCTACACGCGCATGAACAGATTGCCTTGCTCGTACACCAGAACATACTTAAAAACGAATGAACGGATGACCACTCGTGTTTAACCGGTCATCTCAATACCACCAAATTATCGGGAATCATTTCCCGAGACGAGGTGACGGTAATCGATGACGCCATTATTGCATCTAGGTTCACTCAGGCATCCACTCGCCACTGGACCGATCCTTTCGCGAACAAAGAATGATAATTGACTTTTCGAGATGTCGTTAACTACATGATTTTTGGCGTGACCGTTGAAATTCGAGTTTTTGAACCATCGCGATTGCGTGATCGCTCGTTTCCTCATTGGAATAGTCGATTTCCCTAGGATTTTATGGGGGGTCACACAGGAGAATATCTCGTGATCCGGAACGGAAAGTGTTCAGCTCAAATGGAACCCAGATGGATAATCACACAACACGTTATCCTCGTTGTCCCACGGGCGTGTAGCAACTGTTCGTTGTTTCACGAACGTGCTGCTACTTTTCTGCAGGATCTATTTAATTTAAAAGTACGCCATGCATGCCCCTGGTGAATTACAGGACTTCGCGTTTTGACAAGTGTACGCCTTCCTGCTAAATGTAGTCGTGTGATAACAAAGCAAGAAAAAGAAACAATCAATAATGTCTTCGGACACGTATTATTAGAGACGACAATAGTAGAAGCAAATGGAAAAACAAACATGTCAACAAATAGTGTTTGTTTTTATTTTTTTATATGTGCGTATGAACTAAACCTTTTCCAAAGTTGAATTCAAAATAGAATGTCAGTAAAGCATACGTTTGTCTCACCGAATATGCGCGAGTCAGGATATGATCGCGTCAAGTTGATGTTAATGCCGTGAAACTTTAGAGCTGGTTTATCGAGATTTTCTCTTACTCTCGTTTCGCACAAAATACGCCAATTCATGGGTTGGGTATTTCCAAGTTTGACCACCTCAACATAATAATCACAATAAATTAAGGAAAACAAACTGCACGCAAAAGTTCAACTGGCTAGTTCACAACAGGTACGGATTATCAATGGACGTTCGCAACCTCCAATTATCGTTCCGTCGTGTAGGAAAACCGCTTCCAAAGAAGCATCGAATCGCATAGAAAACAGGTGTCGGAAAAACCTACAAACCAGTTTCACTGTGCATATACTTGCATGCGCCCCTCAGTCGAATTGTTGGTTGTCAGAGAGTGGTCTCATGGAAATTTGTTAAACACCAAGGTAACCCCTGATGTCACAATCTTTTTCCTCTTCCAAAACCAAAACCAAAATTTTGGGGTGCACTTCTAACTCAATCTTTTGAATTTCCTCTTACTTTCCTTTTCTTTTGAAGCAGCAACACCTGATACAAAACCTTAGTTTCGCTCGTTTTATATCGTCTATGAACGGTTGATTAAAGTTCTACCAATGTTTGTTCACAGGAAATAATGCTTCTTTTTTTGTATTACCGAGAAAACCCGAGTATGAACTCTTATCATTTTATAAGAGGTCACGTAATAACATTCTTTTCAAGCTTTTTGACATCGAATCTTCTCTATACTGTATGTCATTAGCGATCATCCATATATAAGCCCGAAATTATGGAAATTAACAACAAACAATAACTTGTTAATACGTGACACAACAATTTCAGGATTTTTTTTGTTAACAGAGAGACGCCGTAACCATAATGAGTAGGGTTGCACATGAGAAAAAAGACCAAATTAACATGAACAATTATTTTTTGCTGAAATTCTAATTCTAAAACTCGACCCACAGTACAATTAATCAAATTTTTCCGATTTCTTAGAATTCTTAAGAAAAAATATATTGTAGCACAACATCAGTATAACGCGATGATACCTAATTTGTCAATATTAACCAGTGCTGAGTCATGGGTCTGAGGCGCCGCGAATTATTCCATTTAAGTCTAAATTTTTTTTGACGGCTAAAACATTACACAATTCTTTTTTTAAATCTTTTTTAATAAGGACAAACTTTCTCTTTAATTAATTAATTAATTATTTAATTATTTCTTTATTTATATTCAAGCAAGCACCACGCGTACCTATCTACCTAGCTAAACCTAGACTATCTTATGGAATGGTAATAATAATAGTAATAATAATAATAATGATAATGAGGAAAGAGGAGGCAGTTGTTACCTAATTTGTTCGACAAGCATTCTTTTATTAATAGATCGCAGATACGTTGACAATCGTACGACTTCTGGTTTCGGGGTTCTACGGTAATTAACCTCAACGAAAAAAATCTTCCGGTATGCAGACGTTCCGACTGGCGTTCCATATGATCTGGCGTTCTTCGTGAAGGTGTCAGCATATCAAGACACCATATACACGTAAAAATATAATTTTTGGATCATCTGTGTTTATTCGACTTACGTTACACATCCGGCGCATTTATCATTATCCATCAGAGAAAGAATTGTTGAGAGGATGGGGCGTACGGGAAGTGTGTCCCTTTGAATTCGAAGCAATTTAGAACATAGAGCGATTTCCTGAGTCTTTATTGTGCCACTGCGTGCAACAAACATCAACAGGGAACACGTGCCTAGATATCATTGACAGCAGATGAGATTATCTATCGATACATACGGCATATACAGTTTATATTGTATAATTGTGTGTATTGCACCCACGAGGCGATATCTGACGAGCGAGTGGATAATAATACCATTTGGACGGGTCGCATCTATGCTGTGAATCGACATTTCACAAAGATAAGAAGAATGCACAGGGTGTCGCCAGGAATTATTGTTTGTCGGATAACTGTCAACACTCCCAATATAGACAAGAGATAGATGAGGAATGATCTCACGCCACCAAGAATATGTTTACAAAGGATAACCCCAAATTTTAGATACGAGGCTTGCTTGACCGAATCTTAGGTTCACGTTGTGACTGTCAAGTATGTACCTGCGTACATGCCACATATGCTGCATGCGGTCAAAGTGAATTTATCTTGTGTCAAGGCAAGGATCAAGATAAGATGCTCGCACACACACACACACACACACATAATGAGAAACGTTGTTTGTGACAGGATGTTCGTTAAGCGATAATCAATCATTGTTAGATGCAACGAAATACGAACACGACAATTTCCGACAACGTTTCTACAATAGTACTAACGCGCAACCGAGAGACCCGAACATGCAGTAAGTGACACCTAATTTCGCGATCGCCTATGGGTAAAATTAGGCACCTCAACCTCCTACCAGGGTAAAAAGGCCCAACTGTTCGTTTTTTTTTGCCATCGGGCGCAGCGCGAAATGCGTTTTTTGAATTGTAGAGGAGCAAAGGATCCGAATGATTGGAAATTTTTTTTCGATAGATACATCATTATGCTATGACCAAAGACTAATATAAAACAATCGATAATGCGCATGAAGATCAGCTTTGTTTTCTTGTTGCGGTCGTCCCAGAACTTTGTGATTTTTTATCAATTCTCACGAATCGAACGCGTGTATTGAAGATTTGTCTAATCGAGTTGATTCCTCGAAACAAACGCGACAAAGGTAACTCCCCGGTGAAACCTCGAGATTCCTTGGGACAAACGCGACAAAGGTAACTCCTCGAGATTTCAAAGATCATCATCATAGGTAATGGTTGGCTGGAATAAAATAGACGTAATTGATACCCAAAGTTACATCGATGATTAAATGTTTGTTATTCACATTTACAAGTGTTAAAAACAAGAACGGCTCAACATGATAAGGATAATCGTAACCATTTATCACCTAGAACCGAAAAAGAAGCTCGCTATTTATAACAAATGTCAACTGCAGAGATGTTTCACCGCATATTAACTGCATCGCATGGCATGTCACATGATGTGAGTTATATATGCTGCATGATTATTTTTTTTTTTTTTATAAAAATATTTTTTTATGGGCAAGTTTGCCAAGCTTCACAAACGATTCGTGAGTTGTTGTTTTTTTTACGTGCATGGCAAATCTATTAAGAGATATCTTTTTTTGATTGATGGTTTTTTTCATCATAAAGGCGAAAGGGGACAAGCAGATCTCGGTCGCAAAAAAAGCATCTGATCGAGAAGGAGATCCAGGGTTGGGACAAAAAACAAGCTCGTCCGCCAAAATCGGCAAGAGGCAAGATAAAAGGAAAAGAATCCGAGCTCATGTGAAAAAAGAGAGTGGGGAAGGTGATGGAGAAAAGAAGGTTAAGAGGGATTATGTTGATATATTTACGGGGAAAAAATTGTACAAACCTGTAATCGAAAAAGGAAAAACCGAAAGGCAATAAGGGGACCTGGAGTCTGTATTTTAGGAATCTTTACTGCTTCAGATACACACGCATAATCAATTGATCATTCCACATCACTTAATAAAGACTATGGTTTCTAAAAAAAATTGCGCGCTACCAAATTTATTATCAAATCAAAAATTTTTGTTTTTTTTTTTTTTATAAATTTTTTTTTTTTTTTTTTTTAACTTATCGCCTAATTACCATTAATAATAAAGTATATATATACCATTAATTAGAGGTGATAAGTAAGGAAATTTGTATTTGCATTACAGAAATAATCTGGAGGCATTCCTCTAAATTTCCGATCTGACTCCCATTCACCCCAACTATGGAATGAGAGTTATGAACGAGATAATCTAAAAAGAACACCGAAAAAGAAATAGAATTTTTTTATACATGATTTATATATAAAACGTGGAGGGAAGGGATAGAGAAAGAAAAAAAATGTAGAAATAATATACAAAGGAATGTGTGAGCGCTATGGAAAAGAAAAATGTATGTATGTGATGATACAAAGGAGAAAAAGGGTTGATCTTTTTTTTTTTTTTTTTTTTTTTTCAAAAAAATAAAACTTTTCTTATTCGCACGTATTGATTAATTAATCATAAAATTTTCTTAGAGATTCATATATAATTGTATAATTTTTTGCGTTCGTTTTCGTTTCGTTTTCGTTTCGTTTTTCGTTTCACTCTCGGTATAAAAAAAGATTCGTTAAAGAAATGGAAAAATAATAATAGTGTTTGAAGAAATTGACATTGAAATGATCCGAATGGTTCGATTTCAAATGTCTTGACATAATTTTCTGATCTTACGATGAGACCTTAAATGTGCGAACAAAAAAAAAAATATCATAGGCAGTTGACGTTCATAACAACCACTTTTTCTCGAATTTTCCTCACAAGTCTAATCAATCTTCTCCAAAGGTGGATTTGTTGAGAGGTAGTATGGAGTCATTTGAAGAACGAGTCTTTGGAATATCTATAGGATTGCTTGTGGAATAGATGGACGGATTATACTCATCATCAAAAGCTTCTTCCTTGTAATCGCCACAGTTCCCAAAATCATCATCCAAAGTATATACACTGGTAAATGACGAGACGTCGGAATCCGAGTAAGAAGAAGACACCGAGGAGGGTGGAGAGAGCACTTTCTTTGAATTCGCTTCAGATGCGTAGTAAGTATTGGGCATTAATGAGATCGAAAAGCGAAGATGGGCAGGTGGGGAGGGGGGAGGTGTTTTGGAATTCAATTGAGAAGAGCTATCGATGCTCGCACATTCTGAACCGCAATACAAACTATACGAGTCTTTAACTGGTTTATAACAAACTGTACAAAAGTCGCTATCCATTCTTCTTAGCAAAGAAAGAGGCCTTATAAGGACCAAATAGTATTTCTTGGGAGATTATAAAGTCAGTGCAGGACCCATAAACGAAGATTATTGTGTTATTAAAATTTCGAGGGTCAAAATTTCGATGTAGTTATCTTCCACACAATTATTGATTGAAAGAAAGAACGAACGAACATTCCTACTCTTTTTATACAAATTTTGATTGAGATCGCAAATAATTAATCCAATATCACCGTTGGCCGATTATATTGACTATTTTATATTATATAACGTCAATATAAAAAAAAAATTTTTTTTTTTTATTCACTCAATAAATAGTGTGAATGAAGACGTACTGTATAAAGGTGCTACATGATAATCACTCGAATGCATGTGATTGGGACAAGGTAATTGATTTTTTTTGTGTTTCTATACTTATACCATTTAGGTAACATTATGATTTTATATAGGTTATATTTCATTTCCGTATTTTTCCCATATATATACAGTATAATATCAACTAAAAAAAAAAAAAAAATTTTTTTCATCACATCCTAATAAAAATCTTTTTTGGCTGATGCGGGAAGGGGAGAAGGAGAATGAATGTATTCGACAAAATGTCAACCCTTAAAACAGGAGCTTTATGTTAGAAACGCCGTATTCTCGTGAGTAGGCGCAGAGATCGAACACTGAGGTCATCGTGGTTCGTTGATTTCCGGGTCGATTTAGGAAAAAAAAAGAAAGAAAAATTCGAGGGATGGATGTGTGTACTGGTACGTGCGGTAAGTTCGTTGGGTGCGTGCATAAATTGGAGGAGAAAGCATCAAAAATAGGTTAGTCCTTGCAAGCACAGAGATCGCTCGCCTTTTTTTGTGCTGTGAATGCAGCAACATTTCATTAACCATCGTGAAAGTCTGTTCGCGCATCGCGTACATCCAAATATGCTCACAATCGATAGTAACAGGAGAATTGTGCGTGTACCGCGCTAAACCCGTCTAGTTAAAAAACAACGCGCATTTCTATGCATGATCGATAACCTTCTATGTTTGCGTAGGAAACCGGTTTATTCTCGTTAAAATAAAATAGCAATAATGAGATCTCACTTTTTTATTCATGTTTACCCTGGTTCCCTTCACTTGCTCATTCGGGTCTTACATAAGGAAACAACATAACATGGTTCATTTTATTTTAAGCCTATTGTTTACGATGCGTTTGTCATCTCCACTGCACATTGTTAGATGATTCCGTATGCCCAAAAGAATTAAATTAAATATCTAATGATGGATATATTTGTTATTTCGATTTAACCATTTGCGTCAATTGCTGAACGACATGTTAGTTTTACCGTGCCGTTTCGCAGACCGTAAATAAAGTTGTCCCGGCAGTTGGTCTGAAAAAAAATTTTTTTCCGGCAGACAACTGATTTTAATTTCCGTATTGCATACGACCCAAAGATGATACCATCGATGATAATCTATCTGGAAGTACTGCATATGCGGCATTTTGGCAGTGTATCCTCCCCTAAAAAAAACAACAATTAAACAAATTGTCGACTAAAAATATATCATCAAACCAGGTTTCAGTGTTAAGGTTTGTTGTTTGCTCGGTATGATGTGCGATGTCAGGCTCTCACACATATAGAGAAGTGTTTCGTGATGATTTGAATGGCTTCGAGTAAGGCGTGCAACAATGATCTTCGTTTCATCTGTCGAGAATGGTTCAGGAGCTTCGGCGTCACTGTATCTATATGATCGTGTGCTGGTGTAGTGCACTTTATTATATTGTGATGCAGCAGAATGTACCCTGAACTCTCAGGGGATTCTACAGAATCTAGGACAATTTGATCATTGATACCCGGGGCACTTAATTGTGAACAAACAGTATGTAACCACCAACCGAAACAACCTTTTCTATTCCACTATATAAATTAGCCAATGCGCATGAATATTTGTCCGTTATAGCCCATTAATGTCACACGAAATCTTGATGAAGATGGCGTGTTCTACTCTGCCTATCGATCGCTTTTTAGCGTGAGAAGCATAGAATGATTTTGGCAGAAGATCGCAGTCACGGAATCAAGGCATTCAATTAACATCTTTTTCGGCGAGGTCGAATTTTTTTCTGTTTCATTCATTCACTCATCCATTCATTTTTTTCCGTACAATTCACATTCAGCTTTTGGGGTATGAACTGTGGTGAATGTGTTACAGAAAAATGGTTTCTGGATACAGCTGTGGTCACACTAACTTTAGAACCTTCATAGCTATGGTTTTTGGGTCCATCGACTCGCGCGCCTGTCATTGTTCATCTTGTTTATTAAGTTTGACATTCGGTCGATACTTTACGCCGAATGGTTTCTGTGCGCCAAGGTGACTTCGCCTGAATGCTTAATGGCCATAATAGTTTTTTATTTGTGATACATTTAAACAAAGAATTCATCGCATTTCAAATTATCTTGCCTTTAAAAACTCTGGAAATGTGCATATCCAAAGTGCGGAATTAAAAATTTGAAATATTTAAATTTAAACATGGAATGAACTTTGTTTTTCCGGTGCGCGAACGTCGATCATTGATCGACCTTAAAACCAGTAAATTACTAATTCCCACTACTGAACCACCCAGCCTGATTTATAAATGATATGATGTCAAACTCAAAATTCATCTATTGTACGTACGAAAACCATTTAACATACCGTATTAGCAACGCACGCTCGCATTGCATGTTGTTTATAGTGAAAGATTAATGAAATCGTATAGATACCGAATGCATGGACAGGTGAGGCGATAAAAGATCTTGGGTTATCAATGTTACGCAAACCCAAAGACTACTAACCAACACGATGTCTCAATGTTGAATTTTTAATATTTCACCGTTTCTTTGTTCTGGAAATACACATTTCTGTATTTACATTACTTCTAAGGAAAACCTCGCCATAAATATTTGGTCATTCCGGAATGAAAGTATCTGCCTTTAGAGCAATTGTTTACCCCGTGCGGTAATCTCTATTAAATGAAAAGCATGGCTCTTGTTTATTTTCACGAAAGGCAGGCGACCACACGTTACGTATCACACATCGAGTGTGAGTGGTCGGTCCTTCGTTTACCGTAATCACTCGCCCAATCGTAGCGCCGAAAGTATGCTGACTCTGGACCTTTATCCAAAAACCATCGCATCTGGAATTTTTTCTTGTTCAAGTGAAACATGGCGTAATGTGTTTTGGTTTACAAAATTAGCACACCGATTAATTTTTAATTGCCAAATACTGCATTGACATGATTCTGGGTAATTGTTTTAAATGATAACCATTCGTACTTAAGAAAATGGTCTGATTCTTTTTAAATAATCTAGCAAAGAGATTTTGGGATAATAGAAGACACATACGATATACTTGGTGTCAAACCAACCCTACCATTTTTAAATGTGCACATGTGTCGGAATAAAGCTAAACGCATTTGCATAAAAGTTACCTCGCAAAAATTAAAAATATTGCATCATTTTTACAATGATAATATTTTTCATAATATTTACTTGGGTTAACGAAAAAACAAATATATCTGTACGTCCTCTACAACATTGTTTTTTATTTAAAAATGAAAAACATGTGAACGACGATACTCGATAAATACGGCACTGGTCGACTCAATGTTTTATATTACATTTCTTGTCACGCTTCCCCAAAGAATAATCTAAAATACTGTGTGTTTCACGTTACGAGTTGCGATCAACGCCAAGCCTAGACTAGATGAATGTACGTTGCTAGGTCTTTATTTATTTATATAATTAAAAAAAAAAATAGCAATTTCAAATTGGATCACCAAAAAAATAAATAAATAATCCTTTTCTTTATTACCAATTAATTGATCGACGATTTTAATTAATATGTTAAATTTAAGATTTAACAAATTAATATGTATATATTAAATTAATTATTATTTATTTAAACACTATGATAAATAATTTTAATAATCTATATATTAAAAAAATCCTAATACAATGTATATGCAGTAAATAAAATTAATATTTTTTTTTAAAAAAATAATTATTATCTTTATTCAATCAATACAATACTTTTTATTTATACTTTATAAATAAAATGTTATTATTAACAAAGATAAAATAGTTATCTTTATATATACAGTATATAGTTGAAAGTGATATGATATTTTTTTTAATTGTATATTAAAGATGTTTTTTGATTAAATTACTAAAGATGTGATTACGTAATCATTCTTAATAAATAATCTTAAGTAATTATATTTAGCATGTTATTTTATTTCTAATTTTATAAAACAACTTAATTAATCTATCCATTAAATCTTAAAATATTTAAAAACATTTTAGTTTTATCAATACATTATATAATTATATATTTTTCAATATATTTTGTTTTATTTATGTCTGTTTTATTAAAATTTTATTTTTATAATATTTTTTTTCTTTATTACAAATAAACCTTTGTTCAAAAACTCAAAAATCTTTATAACAACTAATATAATAAAATAAGATCTTTAATTAAAATCTATTTAAATTTAAAAATTTTGTTTATCCTTTAATTATATAAGAAAAAATTTATAATAATTCTCTTCTCTTTTGTTTTTTTATTCTTTTCTTATACTTACTAAATTAAATACTTTTTAAAAAATATATTCAAATAAAATCATTAAATCTTTTGTTTATTTTAATATAATCTTTATATATATAATTTTTGTTCAAAAAATCAAAATTAATTTATTTATTTTAAATAATTATTACTTTCCAACCATCTAATCAAATTTCATCAATAATATAACAAAAATTAAATCTGTTTAAATTAGTTTTTTAATATAATAACAATAATAACAATTATTATAACAATAAACAATATTACTTATACTTTATTATTTATATTAACAAAAGTCATATCAATAAGACCAATACTAATACAAAAATTAAACAATTGATTATTTTTTATATAACTTAGTTATAATTTCAATAGTCTATATTATTATAACTTTAATTTATTTATTTTTTCAATTTATTTTTTTTATTTTCTTTATATTCAATCAAAAAATCCAAGTAAGTAAGATATAACTACTACTTATTATATTTAATATATCATTATAAATATTTTTTTGCAAAAAAACTTCTTGAATTTCTATTTTTTAAAAAATTTTAATAGTATAATAATTTTAAAATCTCCAGAATAAATATAAAATAAAATATTTGATTGATTTCAAATGTTTTACAAAAAATCAAATTACGTAATTTATTTTTCTAGAGTATATAATAAAAAATATATAAACCAAAATTTCACTAAAAGTTATTTAGAACAAAAATCTTATAAAGTTTTTTGAAAATTTAGAATCTTTAAATTCAAAATATTTATAAAATTGTTAATTATTTAAAAATTTTAAATTCTTATAACATTTTTAAAGGTTTTTTGTTTTAAATAAATTAAATCAAAACAAGATATTATATAAACAATATTATAAATTATTTTTATATTTACTATATTATATATTTTGATTAATTGAATATATATGCATTTATATTTATATAGTATTTTTTTAGATATAAAATTATATTATTATATTAATGCTAATTTTAATAAATCTTTTTGAAATATTCTATTAATTTGCAAAATTATTAAAACTTAAATAAAATATTTTTAAGTATATAATATATTTTACAATTTTCATCACAAAAACTTTTTTCCATTTATACTACTTTTCTTAAAGATTTTCTTATTACGAAACTTTTGAAAAAAGTCAATGAGAAGTCAAATTTTTATTTAATAAAAATCAATAACATGACAACAATATCTGTAGAAATAAGTTTTTCTTATGGATTAATCTTTAAATATTCAGAGCCAGCAGACCAGATAGTATTGATACAAGAACTTTTCTCAAAATAAGTAAAAAGAGTCTCTTTTGTATATTTTAGTAACTTTAAATAACAAGTTTTTTTTTTCTTATTAGTAGCTGGCTTTTTTAAAAAGAAAAAAAAAAGGTGACCCAAAAAAAAGAGATGTCAAGAAAATAAAAAACCAGATAAGTCAGCAAAAAAACAACCTGCATCCAAATAATTTTTGCTTACAAAAATATATAAATATATTGAATGTAAAAAAACTTTATTATATCAGAAAATTTTTTAGCAAAAATTTTCAAAAATCTTCGAGCATAGATCTCTAGAGAACCTCCGTTATCGTTAAAAGACTCTGGAGTGAAACTTAATATATTAAACTCTGGAGATCTTTGATTTATTTTAATAATAATAAAATATATTTATATTTACATATTATATTCTATTAATATTCAATTTTAAATGTTTATTTGCTTTTAAAATTATTTATTATTACATAATTCTTGTTTACATTTATTCATTTATCTAAATCTTCACTTATTACCAAAGTCCTTCTCTCTAATTCTCTATTTTCCAGTAATTGTCCTAGATCATTTTTAGTATTTTTACATTCCTCTGGATTATTTTCTATAGTAATAATTTGTTACTCAGCTATTTCTTTATTTTTGCTACTTGAATTTTCTTCTTTAAATTCAAGTTCTTTTTTAATTCTCTTCTAAAAATATTATTAACAAAAATTTATATTTCTTCGAAGACTTTTAAAACTCACCTTATTTTTTTCTACTTTGCTTTTAATTAACATTTCATTTATCGAAATACTTTTATTATTCAGATCAAGAACTGTTTGACATATTGCAATGGCGAATGCTACTTGTTCATCAGAGGCATTTTCCTTTGGCTAGACTTTTTCAAGAATACAGGTCATTATGCTTTATGTCTTTGCTTTTGGACATTTGTAAAGGTTTTCAAGGCACTTGACAGTCTTCTGAGATTGTTTCCAGGTCAAACATTTGGCGACAGATGTATTCATATTTATTGTATCCAAAACCCTTTGCCGAAAACCAAAACATAGTGTCATGAATTTTTGAAGCCATAATCCCATGAAACGATTGATGCTGTTTCACAAGCTTTTAAAGCAATAAGGTATTAAATAACCGAAGAACTAAAATTATTAATATTTATAAGAATTACCACTTGATAAATATGTTTTTCATAATATGTTTTCTAACGTTTTCTTGTGAGGCTTTTGTAAAACTCTGAATATTCTTGTTGAAAAAATTCCTTGATTGTTTAGTGAAAATTTTCAGGGTCTGGATATATTCTTTCAAAAAATATTTGTTTCATAATACTCTTAACTATACATGTTTTCTTATTACCATAAAAGGAAATTTGATCGACAATACAATTCTGAATTAAATACGATTCCCAATTACTTACTAATTGTT